TCTTTTCCCTACACTTGACAGATTCTTGCCTACTAATGTTTCTCAAGTGTCCAAAGCAAACCTGCAGTTCTGACCCCAGTAATTACTTTTTTTCAAGTCATCATATCACCTACACCTTTCTCTTCCTTAGAAGATATTGTGAAATTTATAAGTTATAAAACATAATGAATTTCTTTGGTTTTATATACTTTGGTTCAGTAAGAAATATTTGATATTTTTTAACCCACTCTCCAGTAAATAATTTCCCAAGCTTATACTTTTTAAATTTCAACTGTATTTTATAGAACAGTTGATTTGCAGATTTTTGTTTTGTGAATAGAAAGAACAGAACAGAAAATGAAGGCAGAAAGTAAGTTATTACTGCTGTGAGATTTAATTACTGGACCGATCAACAGAAATTACTGTTACAGTAATACAGGAAACAGAAACAATGTTCATTATCTTTTTATCTTCTATAAATGCTAAGTATAAACTATAATTAATTTTATCACATTATTCAAAACTTTACCTACTACTGGCTTCGCTAATCAAGTTAGTCTTCCATCCAAGAATAAACTATACATACTTGGATTTTTATTTTGTGATGGCACGATATTACATCTTGAAAACAACTCTCAATCTTATGTGGCTCTTAAAATGACTTGAATTTATGCAACAAGAGGTAATAGAACATGGTGTCTTAATTGTATAAACTTAGTTACAAAATAGTAATTAAAAAAATTTTTTTCCTACCTTCAGAATTACTTTAAAATATCAATGACAACTATTTTCTTCCTAGGTGAACAAATATTCTACCTTTTCACTATGGCAGGATAAAATCTTTGTGGATAAAAGTAAAACTACAGGATTTAGAGTGGTGTCTTAATGTCTGCTAGTCTAGTAACCCTGTTGTTAGTCTCAATTTCTTTTAACTTCAGTTTCCTCTTCTGTAAAATGAGCAACACAACACTTGCACTACCTAAAAGACTATTGAGAGGATTAAATGAGATAAACCATCTGAAAGAACTCTGCAAAGCACAAAAAGCTACTGAAATAGAATTATGACACAGCATTTACAAATTATGGTCATAAAAGTTTAATATGACTTCTAAAATGAAATAAATGGAAATAGATGTACGAAACATTTAGGACCATGGTCACCAAGTTATAGCTATGACCGGATATATACTCCATAAAGAAACTTGTTAAGGGGCTGGGGATGTGGCTCAAGCGGTAGCGCGCTCGCCTGGCATGCGTGCGGCCTGGGTTCGATCCTCAGCACTACATACAAACAAAGATGTTGTGTCCGCCGAAAAACTAAAAAAAAATAAATATTAAAATTCTCTCTCTCTCTCCCTCTCTCTCTCTCTAAAAAAAGAAACTTGTTAAGAAAAGTATACTTCCTACAAGTTACCTTAAAATTTTCAGAAGTGAATTTGGAAGAAAGTATAAAAACAATTCATTTAAATGGACTTATATGGCTTGCTGAAAGTTAAATTTTTTACTTGTTATGAATTAAGAAATTGAGGGGCACAGCAGGGCATGGTGGCACACACCTACAATCACAGGGATTTGGGAGGCTGAGGCAGGAGAATGGCAGAAAGATTGTTAAGTTTGAGGCCAGCCTGGGCAACTTAGTAAGATCCATCACAAAATAAAAATAAAAAGGGCTAGGAATGTAGCTCAGTGGTAAAGTACCAGTGTTCAATCCCCAGTACCAAAAGAAAAAGATAAAGAAACCAAGATGCACAGTGGCTCATGCATGTAATCCCAGAGACTTGGGAACCTGAGATAAAAGGATCACAAATTCGAGGACAACTTTGGCATCTAGTAGACTCTCAACACCTTAGAAGACTCTTGTCTCAAAATAAAAAATAAAATGATTGAGGATATAGCTCAGTGGTAGAGTGTCCCTAGGTTCAATTCCCAGTACAAAAAAAGAAGAAAAGAAATTTAGACAGTACAAAAAAAAAAAAAAAAATTAAAAAGGAAAAGGAAATTGAGATACTAGCTTAAAAAGATTAATTAGAAAGTTCTGAATATAGGCCCTAACACTCCCCACCTCCCCCAAAAAAGTTCTTACACAGGAAAAATACATGTAAATGAAACAGAAAGTCTCTCTCTGGAAGTAATTCAGAAAAAGCTAGTAGTCATAGCAAGGGGAATACACATACAAGAGAAATGAGATGAATGTGAACTTAATCTACATTCTTAGTATAATAAATCAGTTAAACTTTTCTATGTGGATCAGAAAATGTCCAGAATGGAAACACTCTCCTAACAGACCACAGGCCAAATCTACTTACTAAACTACAAGGCCAAGTACTCTAGTAAATTATTGTGACTCAAGAATAACTTATCATTAATGAGGTTTACTCTTTCTCTTTCACTCCTTATTAGTTATAGGATACGTTTATAAAGTCAAACTATGTTAGAAATAATTCTTAGTTCCATTCTTTCTGATTTCTCTGACAAATTTAAAGCTCTGATGAAATGAACCATGCTTACTTACTACATGATCCTAGAAATACAACCAGACTGTTCAATTATTAGAAGACTTTAAAATCCAGTAAGATCCAACAACTTCTTATCTTCTAATCCATTCCTCGAACTCATAAATTTAAAAAAGGATTAGGAAAGGGGCACATTTACAGAATTTAGGAATTATTTCAAACACGTAATTTAGTTAAAAACATTAAAATTTACTACTAAAGCAGCTTAAACCAAGACTGAGGTTAAAAAATGAAATCCCTATCACAATCAACTATCCTTGAACTTTCACTTTTTCCTACCTCTGAACCCTAGGAATACTTCAATATATCATCACTGAACCAGGACTTCTAATAATAAAAGACTTTATTCAGGATCAGAATCCTCCCTGTATAAAACTAAGCAATTTCAGCTCAAGGCTTTTTTTTTTTCGGGGGTGGGATGTGCCCAGGATAGAATCCAGGGGTGCTTAACCTCTGAGCCACATCCCCAACCTTTTTATTTTTTTACTTTGAGACAGGGTCTCGCCAAGTTGCTTAGGGCCTCTTGCTGAGGCTGGCCTCAAACTTTTGTTCCTCATGCCTCCCTCCCCCAGCCACTGAGATTATAGGCATGCACATGCACCACCATACCAGACTTATTTTTCAGCTATTGTTGACAATATTAAACTTAAGCCCTCATTTTCTCCCTGAAATCTTATTTTAATTCTATCCCACAGTGACATTTCTCATCATTTAAATTTCCTGAACTGAAAGTATTCAGCACATCATTTAAAATTTTAATTCTATCCAGTTGTTTCATTTGTTTGCTTTTAACTCCCAACCCAGGCTCAATTTCTGAAAGAAAAAGCTCATTTTATCATGTTTCTATTCCAGACTGTGGTACATACCCTGGACAACAATGAGGAAATCCTAAAGAGGTTTCCTAAGTTAAGGAAATCCACACTCCTAACTTCGTATTATCACATAATTCTTCAGGATGAAAGTATAGGATGATATAGATGTCACAATGCAATCAACACAATGTCAATAATACCACAAAGAAGTGGCTAGTTAAGTTTCTCAGAATCTCACCTATAAAGTTAGAAGCTATTTCAGGCATTATCATCATGCTATACGCATACAGTGTCTACCCTTATGTCCTGGACGCAGAACAAGTGTTTATTAACATTAAATCTTCTTAATCTTAGAAAACTGCAGTAACTGTATTGACAATTTTTATGTGCTGGCTTTGTATTTTCTACTTGCCATCCATCCTTTCAGAAATTATAGTATACAAAGTTCAGTTATTTCTATGGAGCATGGTAAATATAAAGAACAGCAGAAGCCCCAATACCATGAAAATTTCAATCTGAGGCAACATTCCAAAGCTAAACAAAAAAAAGTAAAGGGCCCATTTGCCTCTACAGCACAGATAAAAATCAAAGCCATTATCGGAAAGTACTATTCATTCATTTCTACCAAGTGACACCTCAATGCCTGAAATTATGAAAATCTGGTAAGATTCCATGAAATATTCTTAGTGAGTACAAGGAACTTGCTATTTACCTTGAGTTCTACAATAATTAAACCAACTACATTAAGTACCATTATCATTCATTAAAACTAAATTACAAATTAAAGCAGAAGAGACAAGAGAGATTAAGACCCTCACAACAAAGGATAAAAAACTACATTATTTACAATTTTCATTATCGGAAGATTGAAGTTTGGCATGGTGTTGAGATGATATGAAAGCAGAAAGGTGCCTGAATATATTATATTTGTATTAACTCTCAAAAGTAACTAACAACAGAAACCACTTAAAAAGTGAACTTATAAAAAATAACTGCCATAGAAAATACTTAAGTGTAATTACTGCTAAAGTCTAAAGAAACCAAGTCAATATAGTTGCATTCTTACCCACATTTACCACCTTAAGAGTAACTTTTGTTATAATCAAAAGTAAAACATAGTAATATTCCTAAATATGGAAATATTTAAGATATCCAGGAAAACAGAACATGAAATGTTACCAAATTCCTCAAATTTCTCATTTTCTTAAAAAAATTATTTTAAATTCTGCTTGATCAGCTACTGAAAACTCAGAATACCTCATATTCATGAAACCATCATAGACAGCATTGATTCTTGAAAGTAGCTAATTATGGTAGTAAAAATGATATTTCTGATTAAACCAAATAAAATTATCTTATGGGGTTCCCCCCCCCAGATATACAAAAACATCAAAATTAAAATCTGTTAAGGGTGACTGAGCTTATTAAAGAGTTCTATAATACCTTTATACCAAAGAAGATGTATATACACTGCAGGCTGGTTTTCTCTATTTCACTTTTTACACACCATACTATAAGGTTTATAATAACAGTAAAAAAAGAAACCAAAAAGAAGCAAGCAAATGTCAAGGATATAATTAACTCCTGCTTTGCTTTTAAAGTTTGATAAAGAATATAGATTTAAGACTACAGAAATACAATACTTCAAACTTAAAAATAATTATTAGAAATAGCAAATGAAAATGTTTCCACTTACCTGGTTTTTTTCTGGATTTTTCATGGCCTAGCTGTCCTAGATCATTACATCCACATGTATACACAGTTCCATCATCCAGAACAAATACAGTATGTCTGAGTCCACATCCTACATCCCGGACCTTTTTATTTATAAAAAAGTCACTTTTTCTGGGCTCTAATACAATTTCTTCATCAATTCCACCCAAACCTAGTTGTCCAAAGGATGCATTTCCCCAGCACAACATGCTTGTAATTATTTTGGTCTTCCAGTTTCAATACAAAACTCACTTCTGAAACACTGGGAAGTTGGAGGTACCCTATGTCTGAGGAGACAGAAAAAAGTTAACATGAATTCAAAAGGAAACATCTAACTGCTCTTTGATCAAGTGATAGGCTACAATAATCACTATACAGTAAACACTAAACATTTTAAACTATGCTACATAAGTATCATTTAGCTTCTAAAACCAATTAGTTGTTTTACTTTTAAATGCACCATACAAAAATGCTTTGGGAAAATTTGTCACTTTCTATGACTCTTTGCAAAATTTAAAACATTAACTAGTTTTGGCTTTCTGTTGTCTTGTGATAGATTAAACTTATGAAAATAACTGTGGATGAAATTAATCAGTTATTTGTTTTTACTTTAAATAATTTCAATAAGAGCAGGAAATAAGACGTCTTTCTAATGCACCTCCAAAGTCAAGTATACAGCCAACTGCAGAAGCATAACCTTGCAATCTCCCTCAAATCATAGCATAATTAAATAATACAACACCTACCTCCACATCAACAGAAAACTGAAGTTCTTTTCTGTAAAAGAAATAAAACCAATAATGGAAAAATTTAAGTTTCCGATAATTCAAATAACTTTCAGTTATTCATACTAATAGGCCTTACAAAAAATTAGAATTCTATTAAGCCCTAACTTTAAAACAATTACCTCCAGAGATCTTAGTCAAAATACTAACATTCCAACCTCACTGCAAATTAAACACTAATGTGATTATAGTAAATACGCAATTTCAATATCAAGACCTCCCCAAAATTCAACATTTTCTATTAGGAGCGGCAGTTGACTCAAAAATTTTCCCTGGGCAATCCACGTCTATGTGTACGTGTACCTCTGGGACAACTATTTGGAGACGGAGGAAAAAATTGTAAAATCACCCCACCAGGACTGCTGATTTTTCAAGAATAGGAATGGGGGCTGGGACACTGATAGTTTGCTGGCGAAATCTGTAGAACTTTCCAGTACATTGACTGAATATTTCTTCGCTTGCAAAGAAATAAATAACAAATAGTCTAATTAGTCTAAACCTGCACAGATTTTCAAATGCATTACGTTATTAAATAATACCGGTACTACTACATTATTCCTGTTGTAATCACCTACATTTCTTACACCAAAACTTCAAAGTTTCAAAACCCAATTTTTCTACATTACGGCTAGCAAGTGCCAAAGGTGTCCCATTCCATGACCCATCCATTAAAAGAAGTTTGATTTCATTCTTTTGGGGCATCAGAACTCTACAGTTCCCGAGAGTTCTGCACTGTCTTCCCGTATTTTCCCCCCGTTTGTTTTAAGAGGAGGACAGGAAAATATCCTCGATTTCAGCGCGCCTAGATTTAGCCACTCTTTTCTCTTAAAGGTCCTAAAGGGATACGGGAAAAGCGTTCTCTCTCCAGCAACAGGTAGGAGAATGAGAAGCAGTTTACTACCATCCTTTCCCTCAACAGGCACCTACACCAGCTCACGCGGGTCGGGGAAGGGAAATCGTCTGCACACTCCCAACCTCGCGGACCAACCAGTCAATTACCGCAGCTTCCCAGACGCAGAGGCCAGTAGACCAGCCTGGGCACCCGGCGGCCTCAGCCCAAAGTAGGTCTTCCCCAGGGAGGTGCGACATTCCAGCCCCAGGGCCACGGAGCACCGACCCTTCCCTCACTCCCCGCCCCTCACCCCCAGGAAGCGCTGAGAAAGCGCCCTTCGCCATGCCGGCCTGTATCCGCCCAGCCCCAGCCTGCCCCCTCCCTAACACCACCACACGCCCCCCGAACCCACCCGGGCAACGACTCACCCGGCCCCTCAGTGCAGGGAAAACCCAAGGCGACCGAGGGCGGCCCCTCCCAAATAGCGAGGCTGCGCGGCTGCTAAAGCACGTCTCCAGATCCTGGGACCCTCCTTCAGCCAGTGGCGGCGATCACCAAGGCTCCTCCGGCTTCGGGCCGCTGCTCCGCTGCTCCTGGGTCAGGTCCCTGTGAAACTTTACCAGGTTCCTCAGAGAAAAGCAGCCGCCACCACTGTCCAGTCCGGAGACAGCCGTCAGCGACCCGGATGGAGCGGGAGGGGAAGAACTGAAAGCGAGCAGGGCGGAGAGCGTAAGGGGTGGAGAGTTGAGGGAGAGGCCAAAGAGGAGAAGGGAGAGGAGGAGGTGGCTACGGGGGGGAGGGGGAGGGGCCTGCCGGAAGTGAACCTCGGAGCACGCGCGCGAGCCCGCCCACTTCCCGGCACGCGCGCCTGCGCCAGAACCCTTCTAGGGTACACCTGCGCCTGCGCGGTGGGCTGCTTTGCGTTCCTTTGACTAATGGGAAGCGCCAAATACAGAAGCTGGAGATTGTGAAGACAAGAGAAGGTGTCTGTGTTTTTATTAACACTCTGCGTGCACAAGGGCCATTTTATGAAAAAAAAACAAAACTCTTTATTTAGTCTTTCTGCTCCACATTAGTATTTTCGTTGTTTTATTCTGCCTTTCCCCTTCCCTAAGGAGATTTTGAATAATCAGCTGCAACCCCAAGATGGGGTTGCGTTTTATATAAAGGCGGACGGGTCTAGACTCAATTAGAGCTAATCTGAAGATGGAAGATACATTGATAGCAATGGCTGAAGCTTACCGCGTTGTCAACACCACCAATTCAGGTTCCTGATATACGTTGGCTCAGACTTTTTGAGTTCTCCCTGGGAGAGCTCAATCAGAAAAGTAAATAAGGCATATAGGTAGAGTTCCTGCTTCAAAAAAGCCCTCTCAATCAGAAAAGTAAATAAGGCATATAGCTAGAGTTCCTGCTTCAAAAAAGCTGGATTTCACGGGCCAGTGTTAACACCATCTTGTTACCAAAACGGAGTCCGTTTACTCACAACATGAAAAGGTCCTATGGAGTGGACGACAAGAAAAAAGGATTTGTTCAGAACCAGATGTGGTGGCCTGCACCTGTACAAGTGCCTTGTATATGTATATGTAGAGCCAATCCCACACTCAGGAGGCTGAGGCAGGAAGATTCTTTTGAGTCCAGTTGGAAATCGGTCTGGGCAGCATAGTGAGACCTGAGTGGGGGAGAAAAGGTAAGCCGACAATAATCAAGAAAAATGGCAGACTCTCTTCCTGAGAAACCATTAATACCGCTTTCAACTTTTTTTTATCCTTAGGAGGAAATAGTTGAGGAAACCTGGTAACTGGTAATCTGATAAGCGTCAGTCTTGAAAGGAGGAAGACCAACAAAATCTCATGCAAATCATCCCTGTGCCTCAAGTTTAAATGATTAATGAGGGATGTATGCTCAAGGATGCACAGGCCTTTCTAACAAAGGATAACCAGGGGAGTGGCTACAATCGCTTTTAAAACTGGAGAACTTGCAACAAGGCATTTTAAAGTTAAGATTTACCAAGACTTGTGACTTTAGAGTGAATGTTGAGAACCTAGAAGGAATCCACAGGGCTGTATATCTTTTACTGAGAAATATATTTCAAATTATGAAGTGTCTATATTAGAATATGTTTAAATATGTGTTAGTTTCCTGGGGCTGCTATAACAAATTACCACAAATCAGTATATTAAAACAGCAGTATTTATTGTCTCACAGTTCTGGAGATCAGAAGAACAAAAAGTGACAGCTGGGTGGTTCCCTCTTGGAGTTTCAGGGAGAAAAGTTTTCCAATGCCTCTTCTAGTTTTCTTGACAATATTTGTGGAAGCATCACTTTAATCCTGCCTCCATCTTCTCTTGGTGTTTCCTCTGTGCCTCTGAGTCCCAATACCCTCTTTCTATAAGGATACCAGCTATTGGATAGGATCCACCCTATAATCCATTATGAGCTTATAACTTGATTGCATCTACAAAGACCTTGTTTCCCAATAAAGGCACACTCACGGGTACCTGAGGTTAGGTTAAACTTGTGGAGAAACCAAATTTAACTGATAACAGTATGTTACAAAAATAAGTATAAAAAAGATGCTTAGCAAAGAAAGTGTAATTTCAACTTTAGGAATGGAGGGACTACCCACAAAACATACTTTATTCTTATCTTTAACAGCCTCCTTTCTTGTGGGACTTTTTTTTTTCAGTCTCACTATTGCCTGTGTTACCCAGTCAGGTTTCAAACTTGAGATTGTCCAGCCTCCACCTCCAGAATAGCTGGGACTATAGCTAGTGTTGGTTTATCTGGATTCAGAGCCTAAACCTTACAGCCCACTTTAGACTTCTGTCCGTCTAGCTCCCCAAACACATTTACTTACATTCTGCATTTCAGAAAATTACTTAGTAATAATTCCTATGTTAATAGTACGTATCTAAGTGGATTGTTGTGGGAATTTAATAAGATAAAATGATAGGCTCAATGGCCCCACTTATAATCCCAGTTACTTGGGAAGCTTAGGCAAGAGGATAGCAAGTTTGAGGACAGCCTGGGCAATTTAGTGAAACCTTATCTCAAAAAATCAAAAGGACCGTGGATACTCAGTAGTAGAATGTAGCTGGGTACAATTCCCAATAGTGCAAAAGACAATAATAATAATAAAATCACATGTAGTGCCTTGTATATGTCAAGAATCTTGTAAATGCTAGCTTTTACCATTACTAGTAGTCTCTCCCAAACTAGAAGTAGTAAGAAAATATTGGGAAATGCATTCCATAGTACCAAGGGGAAAAAATTAGAACAAGAGTATAGGAGTTTCGTTTCTTTTTTTTTTTTTTTTTTTTGAGTACAGTGATTTTTTTACAGACCATTTTCAAATTAAAGATAATGTTCAGATGGTTGAGAGATCGTTGAAAGAGTTATTTATTCTTGTCTCACTGTTCTTGTTCCTTTCCATCCACCCATACTGTTCCTGCTTTATCTTGACTCACTTCATTCAGGTCTGTACTCACAAACTTCCCTGATCAACCTGCACAAGAAAATCACTTTCTTGTTCCCTATTACCTTATCCTGCTTTATTTTCCTTCTTAGTCATATGACATTTTATTATATAACACATAACTGTACAACATTACGTTTATTAGTTGTAACATATAGATAAATAAGAAATAGGTGAGCAATTACATTTAATCCATACATTATATTCTATATATTATGTAAATAGATGTATAACTTTGTCTCCTACACTATACTGAAAATTCCATAAATGCAGGAATTTTGTCTATTTTGTTCAGGGCTCTGTCCTTTAGTATCTTGAACTGTTCCTGGACTACAGTATGTACTCAAGAAATGTTGAATTAGCCAGGCATGGTGGTTCACACCTGTTATCCCAGTGGCTCAGGAAACTGAAGCAGGAGGATTATAAGTTCAAGGCGAGTCTCAGCAATTTACATGCGCATCACCTGCTCAGCCCTAGACCCTCTTTAAGTACTTAACGGGGCTTTAAACAACTTAGTGAGACCTTATCTCAAAAAATAAAAAGGGTTGAGGATGTGGCTCAATAGTAAAGCACCCTTGGGTTCAATTCTCTGGTAACAACCAAAAAAAAAGAGAGAGAGAAATAGTGAATTGATTAATGGTGCTGACAGCATTGTAAATTATCACAATTCTTTTAATAAGTAAATATATTTGACAATATATTTTAAGAGCCAAAATTTTTTCCTTAATATTTTTCATGATAATAATAATATTTATTGTGAGATATTGCACAAGTAAACTGTTTACCTGTATTATATCACTTCTGAGTTCCAGCCTAACAAAATAGAAGATGCATTTAACAAAATTTTATTGAGCATCAAGTATATGACGCCCTCTCAATTCTATTAGGAGAGATAAAAACAAAAAGGCAGCAAACAAAAATATGAATAAGATTTTTATTGTAGCATTATTTCAAATAGCAAAAATGAAAAGCAACCTGAATTACAATATTAGGGAACTGCATAAGCAAATTTTGATATGTGGCTGATAAAATTGTGATTTTAAACACAAATACAAAATGTATATGATTCAATTTTTTAATGAGGCTGCAAAATTATATGTCCTACTTGTAGCCATGTTTTTTTAAAAAAAATGCAAAAGAACCCAGCCACAGTGGCATATGCCTTTAATCTCAACCACTTGGAGGACTGAGGCAGGAGGATTGCAAATTTGAAGACAGCCTGGCAATTTAAAGACTGGTTAAAAAAAACAAAAAAACTGAGGCCTGCAGGGGAGTACAGGAGCAGGTCTAGGGCTGAGCAGGTGATGCGCATGTAACCCCATGACTGGTGGCTGAGACTGGAAGATTGTAAATTCATGGCCAGCATCAGCAATTTAGTGAGGCCCTAAGCAATTTAGAAAGATCCTGTCTCAAAGGTAAAATGCTCCTGGGTTCAATCTCCAATACCAAAAAAAAAAAAAAGTGACTAGGGGTGTATCAGTGATAGAATACCCCTCAATCCAATCCCCAATACCACAAAAAAATAAATAAATAAATAAATGTGCTAAAATAGTAGAAATCATTACATTGGAGATTGGAGCAGATTTTTTCTCTATTTTCCAAATTTCTATAAACAATATTAATCTTATGGTTTTAAAGTGGCAATGATAGCCAGGCACAATGGCCTGTAATCCCAGAGACTCAGGAGACTGAGGCAGGAAGATTTAAGTTAGAGGCCAACCTCAGCAGTTTAGGAAGACTTAAAATTTAAACTTAAATTCTGTCTCAAAATAAAGAATAAAAATGTAAAAAATGGGGATGTAGCTTAGTGAAGAAGTGAGTTCAGTCCATGGGTTCAGTCCTGGATATAAAATGAAATGTCATTGGTAAGAGAAATATTATTTGCTTCCAAAACAAAATAGGTTCAAAATGTAGAAGTACATAATTATTATATTCACCTAAAATTCAATGTAGAAATTTTAGCTAATCAAATATTCCTTTCATCTGCAAAATATATATTCATGTTTATATATGGTTTAAGTCGAGCTATTCATTTTTTATGAAACTTTTAAAATATTAATGCTTGGAGGATCCCCATTTTATCAATTACATACCAAATTATTTGGTCCCCTAGAGTGGATTAGAAGTTTCTGTTTTGATAAACATAGTTTGAGAAATGACAAACATTTTAGGGCTAAGTATCTAAGATTGCAAATTTGGGTTTATTTGTACCACTGAAGGAATGGAACAAATAAATGGCACAAAAATTAAATTACTCCTT